GTTTTGGAGTTGTAGTTCACCTACATCCAGAGATCACTGTGGACTCAAACAATGATGGATCTGGACCAAACTCTACAAGAATACTCCATATGCCCAAATGTGAACACTGGTGGAGTTTGGGGAAAATAGAATCTTGACTGTTGGGAGTTGTAGTTGCTGGGATTTATAGTTCACCTATAATCACAGAGCATTCTGAACCCCACCAAAGATGGAATTGAGCCAAACTTGGCACACAGTTCTCCCATGAGCAACAGAAAATACTGTAAGGGTTTGGGGGGCAGTGTCCTTTGGTTTTAGAGTTGTAGTTCACCTACATCCAGAGATCACTGTGGACTCAAACAATGATGGATCTGGACCAAACTCTACACAAATACTCAATATGCCCAAATGTGAACACTGGTGGAGTTTGGGGAAAATAGAATCTTGACATTTGGGAGTTGTAGTTGCCGGGATTTATAGTTCACCTACAATCCCAGAGCATTCTGAACCCCACCAACGATAGAATTGGGCCAAACTTCCCACACAGAACCCCCATGTGGGCCACAGCAACGCGTGGCAGGGGACGGCTAGTGGGTTATAATTAAACATAAACATGATAATAATAATAAAAGGACAACTCCCAAGATTCCATAGCATTGGGCAGTTGAAGCCGTGTCATATGACACAGTTACATCAGTTTCACCCCATTTGAACAGCACTAGATTCCTCTTGGAGCCCCCGGTGGCGCAGTGGGTTAAAGCACTGAGCTGCTGAGCTTGTTGATCGAAAGGTCACAGGTTAGATTCCGGGGAGCGGCGTGAGCTTCCGCTGTCAGCCCTAGCTTCTGCCAACCTAGCAGTTCGAAAACATGCAAATGTGAGTAGATCAATAGGTACCGCTCTGGCGGGAAGGTAAGGGCGCTCCATGCAGTCATGCCGGCCACATGACCTTGGAGGTGTCTACGGACAACGCTGGCTCTTTGGCTTAGAAATGGAGATGAGCACCACACCCCAGAGTCGGACATAACTAGACTTAATGTCAGGGGAAAACCTTTACCTTTACCTTAGATTCCTCTTATGGGATCTTGGGATTTGCAGCATTCTTTGGGAGACATGGCTAAAGAGCTTACGAAACTACAACTTCCAGGATTCCATAGCACTGAGCCATGGTGGTTAAAGTGGTGTGAAGCTGCACAGTTTCATCCCATTTGGATAGTCCTGATTACCCGCTATGGGATCTTGGGATTTGTAGTTTGGAGCCTATCTTAGCATTCTCTATTAGGGAGCTCTGTCTAGTGTGGTGGAGTGAGAAGTACAGAACTTTTCCTGCTGGGAGTTATGAGTTTGATATAATATTTTCCCCCAAAAACAGGATATTTAGTTTTGGGTGTGCATTTGGCAAACGCCTGAAAAAAAACACACACACCAAGGACGGTAGAACAATATCTAGTTCTCTGCATTTAGAAAAAACCAAACAAGACAATTGTAGAGGCAGATATTTAATATTCAACAACTCACAAAAATAATCTGTGACTGATACCTGAATTCCCTTATGGCTGTGGTTTTCCCCCACATCCTAAGAACCCCCTGCAATGCAGTGCTCTCTGGTTTGACTACAACTCCCATTATCCCCTTCCAAAAAGACCTTTATTCCCATTGGATTCAAGTGGCAGGTCTGGGATGGTCAATATCCACCTGACGCGCTGGTCATCGCTTCCAGTCCTGACAGTCTGCACTAACCACACAGCAAGGAACATTTTTTCACCCAGGAAAAGAAAAACAACCCCAAATACTACCATATTTCATTTGCATTTGAGTGTTAAGAAGAGTCAGGCTTGGTTAGTCTTGAGATGGGAGTCCACCGATTGGGAAATACAGGGCATTCCTGAACCAATGGCTTACTGGTGGTGGTGGTGGTCAGATTCAGCAACACTCAGCTAGATGGACCAGGGGTCTGAATCACTATAAATGAGCTTATTGTGCTCTTATGCAGCCGAGAGACAACTCTGGGGGGAAATCAGGGATTACTAGCAATGGCTAGAAGAGAATCCTGCCCAAATCCTAGAAAACAATTGCTGCCAATTGGGAGTCACCAATACTGGGCTACATGGGTCATTTAGAACCAGCTACACTATGTAACACAGTTTTTGTTCCTGGGTTATAAATGTCATTTCCTAGTTGGTTTTATCATAAGAGCATGAAAAAATTGAAAAACTCCAAAAACTTTGTCTTTGCAGAAGGGACACCTTGCAGGACATTTTGTCCAAGGCTTTCATGGCCAGAATCACTGGGTTGTTGTGTGTTGTGTATGGCCATGTTCCAAAAGCATTCTCTCCTGACGTTTCGCCTGCATCTAAGGTACGCATCCTCAAAGGTTGTGAAGTCTGTTGGAAACTAAGAAAATTGGGTTTATATATCTGTGGAATGATGTCCAGGGTGGGAGAACAACTACCATGGCAGGGTACACAGAGAAGACTAACTCAGCCAGAGAAGTCAGCCATAGCAGAGCAACTGATGAACCAACCTGGACACAGCATATTATTTGAGAACACAGAAATGCTGGACCACTCTCACAACCACCAAGGCTACACAGAGAAGCCATTGAAATTCACAAGAAGCATGTGGACAATTTCAACAGAAAGAAGGAAACCATGAAAATGAACAAAATCTGGCTACCAGTATTTTAAAAAACAGTAAAACAACACTCAAACACAGGGGAACTCTAGAGATGAAGGGTTAGAAGGCAGGATCATCAAGTTTGCAGACGACACCAAATTGGGAGGGAGAGCCAAGACTCCAGAGGACAGGAGCAGGATTCAAAACGATCTTGACAGATTAGAGAGATGATGGCCAAAACTAACAAAATGAAGTTCAACAGGGACAAATGCAAGATACTCCACTTAGGCAGGAAAAACGAAATGCAAAGATACAGAATGGGGGACAATGCCTGGCTCGAGAGCAGTACGTGTGAAAAAGATCTTGGAGTCCTCGTGGACAACAAGTTAAACATGAGCCAACAATGTGATGTGGCGGCAAAAAAAGCCAATGGGGTTTTGGCCTGCATCAATAGGAGCATAGTGTCTAGATCTAGGGAAGTCATGCTCCCCATGCTCTATTCTGCCTTGATTAGACCACACCTGGAATATTGTGTCCAATTCTGGGCACCACAATACAAGAGAGATATTGACAAGCTGGAATGTGTCCAGAGGAGGGCGACTAAGATGATCAGGGGTCTGGAGAACAAGCCCTATGAGGAGCGGCTTAAGAAGCTGGGCATGTTTAGCCTGAAGAAGAGAAGGCTGAGAGGAGATATGATAGCCATGTATAAATATGTGAGAGGAAGCCACAGGGAGGAGGGAGCAAGCTTGTTTTCTGCTTCTTGGAGACTAGGACGCGGAACAATGGCTTCAAACTACAAGAGAGGAGATTCCATCTGAACATGAGGAAGAACTTCCTGACTGTGAGAGCCGTTCAGCAGTGGAACTCTCTGCCCCGGAGTGTGGTGGAGGCTCCTTCTTTGCAGCTTTTAAACAGAGGCTGGATGGCCATCTGTCAGGGGTGATTTGAATGCAATATTCCTGCTTCTTGGCAGGGGGTTGGACTGGATGGCCCATGAGGTCTCTTCCAACTCTTTGATTCTATGATTCTATGATTAATCGGGGACAGCTAATCACTTCTCAACAAAGGATTCCCTCAGACACTAACAATCCACACCTAAAAACTGCTAGGCCATCAAATGCTAATCAAGGTGGCCAATTGAAACATTCACACCTTCTTCCAACAGACAAGAGTTCTTTCTCCCACCCTGGACATCATTCCACACAGGCCCGTAGCCAGGATTTTGATTCGGGGGGAGCTGAGTTTGATTCGGGGGTGGGGAGTCTGAGTCTGAATGAAAGAGTGTCTACCTTAGCAAACCTTTTGTATTGTTATCCCAATACCCCCATGCATATGGGATATATTGAGCATGGTGATCAGATCATGATATGAATAAACATAACAGTTTAAATAATGTACCAGTAAGGCCTTCTCGCGGACCACCATGAGAATTTCGGGGGGAGGGGCTGAAGCCCCCCAACCCCCCCCCCCCGCTACATGCCTGATTCCACAGATATATAAACCCAATTTTTATAGTTTCCAACAGACCTCACAACCTCTGACAATGCCTGCCATAGATGCAGATGAAACATCAGGAGAGAATGCTACTGGAGCATGGCCACACACCCCGGAAAACACACAACAACCCACATTTTGCTCTAGTTTTTCAATCTCAAGCAAATTCAACAGTTTGTAGCAGCCACAAAAACCAAGTTTCTGGAGAAGAACAACTACTTTCAAAGTAAGGACCACACAATTAAAGGGAAAATAACACTTTCAAACCAGGAACAGACTTTGTTTTTCAAATTGTGGTATGTAATGTGATCATTTGGTGGAAGATCGGGGTTTCCAGTAATGACAGGGAAAGAATCCTACGCCAAATCCTAGAAAACCATTGCTGCCAGAGCCAGTAATACAGAGATAGATGGGCCAAGAGGTCTGAATTGCGCTTCTTTTATGGCTGGAAGACCACTATAGGGAAGAGATGGGGGAGTTTCCAGTAATGACTAGGAGAGAACACCACCCAAAATGCCAGAAAGCAATTGCTACCATCAGAGTCAGCAATACAGAGCCAGAAGAACCAAAAGTCTGACTCATGGCTAGAAGACCACTGTGCGATGTTTCCAGTAATTAGGAGAAAAGAGGACCCCACCTAAAATCCTAGAAAGCTATTGCTGCCAGTCAGCTTTGGGAATACTGAGCTAAATGGGCCAAGAGTCTGACTCGTTCTAAACCACATCCCAAGGTCAACCTCCAAGTATGGCTAAGAGGTCTCCAAATCCTACAAATTTGCTGTCAGTCGGAATTGGCTCCTCTGGATCGAACAGGGCTGCTCCCTCCGTCTCTAAGTATGGCTCCAGATGCTTGGAGGAGATGCATTCGGTCAAGAACAGTGAGGCTGTGATCCTTTCGCAGTCCATTCACAGGGCAATGGGCTTCCTGTTGCCTCTGGCCGGCAGGTCAGTATCCGGATATTCCTAGATGTTGCAACCAGAGTCCTTTGCCACGCATTTATCTCTGCTACCAAAAAGTCCACGGAGGCTGCATGAGCTCGTATGTTGGGATGCTGGTGACGTTGACTGGGATAGAGATGACCGCCCAGGGAAGTCCGTGCTGGTCCAAGGAGCGCCGGATCATGTACCTAAAAAGAGAAAGGGGGATTTTTTAACCTTGGACAAGCTAATATATAAAATTTGTACCATGCCACCATTTCCCCGAAGGGACTCGGGGCGGCTAACATCTTGAAAGTACAAATAGGGCCACTTACCCATCTCTCCCAAGAAGGAAGAGGGCAGGGATGTCTGCTGTCCGCTGCGTGCTGTCCTGGATCATCTCGACATAGGAGTTGTCGTTGTCGTAGGCGTTGTCGGCGATGATCACCGCGCGGCCCCCGTGCTCTTGGACGATGCGGGTTTTGGAGAGGAAGGAGCAGTCCCTGCAAGAAAGGTGGAGGGAAGAAGTGTTGGGATTTATGCCATTTTAATCCCTATTATTATTATTATTATTATTATTATTATTATATTATTATTATTATTATTATTATTATTTTTAACACAAGATTAGTACACAGCAAACAAGAAGACACAAATGCCCATTAGGCACATGGATACAATGGTTAAAATCATTTGAACTGGTCCTGGACTCATCAGAGACACCCATATTTACAGAATTACGCTTCCAAACAATGGCTGGAATTCATTGACACATGTGCTTTTCACCTTAAGAACAGACAAGCATCCCGAGCTCTGAGGATTACTTGGGAAGGAATCCCACTGGAGCATTGCAGCACACCCAAATACCTGGGAGTTACTCTGGACCATGCTCTGACCTACAAGAAGCACTGCCTATTACAGGGAAAACCAGCTGATCCCTAATCCATCTAAAACACAGACATGTGCCTTTCATCTCAAGAACAGACAAGCATCACGAGCTCTGAGGATCACCTGGGAAGGAATCCCACTGGAGCATTGCAGCACCCAAATACCTGGGAGTCACTCTGGACCGTGCTCTGACCTACAAGAAGCACTGCCTGAACATCAAGCAAAAAGTGGGTGCTAGAAACAATATCATACGAAAGCTGACTGGCACAACTGGGGATCACAACCAGACACAGTGACGGCATCTGCCCTTGCGCTATGCTACTCTGCTGCTGAGTATGCATGCCCAGTGTGGAACACATCTCACCACGCTAAAACAGTGGATGTGGCTCTTAATGAGACATGCCACATTATCACGGGGTGTCTGCGCCCTACACCACTGGAGAAATTACACTGTTTAGCCAGTATTGCACCACCTGACATCTGCCGGGAAGTAGCAGCCAATAGTGAAAGGACCAAGGCAGTGACATCTCCAGCTCATCCCTTGTTTGGGTATCAGTCAAAACAACTACGACTTAAATCAAGAAATAGTTTTCTAAGATCTATGGAGACACTCGCTGGAACACCTCAGCAAGCGAGAGTCCAAAAGTGGCAGGCTCAAACCCAGAACCTCAACCAATGGCTGATACCAAATGAGAGACTCCTTGGCACACAGAAGACTGGGCGACTTGGAAGGCGCTGAACAGACTGCGCTCTGGCACCACGAGATGCAGAGCCAATCTTAAGAAATGAGGCCATAAAGTGGAATCCACGACATGTGAGTGTGGAGAAGAGGAAACCACTGACCAACTGCTGCAATGCAACGGGAGCCCTGCCACATGCACAAGGGAGGACCTCCTTGCGGCAACACCAGAGGCACTCCAAGGGGCCAGATACTGGACATTGAATCAACTACCAAGCTTGCAAACTTTCTGTTTTGTCTGTTTGTTTGTTTTGTTCTGTTAGAAATGTAATACAATTGTCTGGTTGCCCCTGACACAATAAATAAAATAAATCTCTTGATTGAGATGCAAAGCAGCTAGGAGGCACAAATGCCCATTAGGCACATGGACACAATGGTTAAAGTCATTTGAACTGGTCCTGGACTCATCAGAGACACCCATATTTGCAGAATTACGCTTCCAAACAATGGCTGGAATTCATGGACACAGTGATGCTTTACTAGAATTGCACATCTTTAACTCAAAGATGTAGCTTTCCTATCATTGATCTGCGGCACAGTAAGGAACTGCAACAGGGATCCAAATTCTGTTTGTTGAAACCAGAGATTGTGGGAGTTTGGGTCGAAATGTCAGTCTGCTGCATCTCAATTGATAGGAGAACCAATCTCTGTAACTTATAGAATCATAGAATCAAAGAGTTGGAAGAGACCTCATGGGCCATCCAGTCCAACCCCCTGCCAAGAAGCAGGAATATTGCATTCAAATCACCCCTGACAGATGGCCATCCAGCCTCTGTTTAAAAGCTTCCAAAGAAGGAGCCTCCACCACACTCTGGGGCAGAGAGTTCCACTGCTGAACGGCTCTCACAGTCAGGAAGTTCTTCCTCATGTTCAGATGGAATCTCCTCTCTTGTAGTAGGCTGCTTGCATAGGCTGCTGCTTAGAATATAAAGATTGGGAGACCGAACCTTATCTCCAAAACTGGTTCAGCACTTGGAATAGCCCCTTTTATATTTCAGAGTAAAAGTAAAACTCAGAAAGGACTCATTGTTCAATTGACATGGAAACCATCAACCTTCATTTCGCCAATCTAACTTCTTCTCTAGCAGTTTACACAAAGAAACTCACCCGCGTTCCACCAAAGCAATCTGGCCATCAATGAAAACACCATTATTTAATGTTCCACACGCCTCTGGAGGGTCCGCTGGAACCAGGTAGATTTGCTCGTACCTTGTGTTCTTCAAAAGGTAAAAGAAAAGTACAAAGAGATGAAACCTTTTCCAATCAAGACTACGAACCTCAACATCCACAGCCAACATACAGCTACACTAATGGAGCCAAAACATAGCAGGTTGGAGGTATGCTACACAAGACACTGGCTTTTACCTAGTTAGAATAAGACAATCACACAAATTTGACTGTGTTGCTGTGCCAGACATAGAAAAAAACAAGCAAAAATGTTGAAAAATTATTTGATACACAACAAGATTAGTACACAGCAAACAAGGTCACTCTGCTGGCTTTTGTATTTGATCGCACGTAGGACACTTCCCAAGTGTCTAGGACTGTGTGATATATCTGGAATAATGTGTGCAGATCCAAGTAGGGTGGCCTTTTGCAGATGGCAGGTGGTAATTTTTGTCAGTGACAATTGTTTTAAGTCTGTTGACATCACTACACGAGTGCAATGAGGAGTTGATTGTCATCAGTTTTCTTGTTTTTCTGTCCAGATCATCCAGCTTTGCTTGTGTCGAGTTCACAATTCCAGCAGTGCATTTGTTGTTGTTGTTGTTGTTATTATTACCAGTTTTTTCTTTCTTAAGAGAGACTCAAAGCAGTGAACAAACCTATCCTTGTTGGGCTGACCAAAAAGTGGTAATATGTAATAATGTAATAATAATAATAATAATAATAATAATAATACATTTAATACGTATTTATAACAGAGTAAAATAATTAAATAACCTTGATTCGAGTATAAGCCGAGAGGGACTTTTTCAGCCCCAAAAAAGGTCTGAAAAACTAGGCTTATACTCGAGTATATACAGTAAATGTATTTTAGTGGTTGGAGTGTTGCGCTAGGGGAGCATCACTGTAGACGGAACACATTTTGACACTGCTTTAACTGCCAAAGGCTCAAAGCTATGGAATTATGGGAGTTGCAGTTTAGTGAAGCACCAGTATGTTTTGGCAGAGAAGGCTGAAAACCTTATCAAACTACAACTCCTACTATGATGCCATAGCATTGAGCCGTGGCAGTTAACACTGTGCTAATCTGCATTCATTTTTCAGTGCAGAATATGCACCCTTCACCAGTTCAAACCTTGCTCACAACCCACTTTTTTGTGAGCATTTATGCTCTGACTCATGTTTGCAGCACTCCAGAGAAGCAGCAGATGGTAAAAACATGCCTAGGATACAGGGAATAAAACTATTCATCTTAGCATGTCAGCTATCCTTAAAATAATACTTCCTGAGTCCAGATATTTTATTGGAAGGGATGCCAAAAGGAAGTTGTGGCTCCTTGGCTCTTATACTTACAAAAACTCCCCCGAAATCCTTTGCTGGGGTGGCAGTAAAGATGTAGCGGATATCCCCGGGGCTCAGCACTTGGAAATAAAGGTATTCTTGGAGACGTAAACCTGTGGGATGAGAAATGGAAGAGAGAAAATATGGATGAATGCAATTTGAGACCACTTTAAACTGTGATGATCCAATGCTATGGAATAATGGGAGTTATAGTCTTATAAGGTCTTTATCCTTCTCTGCCAAAAGTACAATTCTTAGGATTCACTAACTGTGCCGTCACACCCAGACACTATAAAATTAAAACTAAGATGAGCTTCTCTCTTTGTCTGGGTGAACTGCTGGTGTCTTTCTTAGAAGCTCAAGATTTTCAGCAACGGAGGCCAGTCCAGGTTTTGAACATCAAACAGAATATTTATTTCTCAAAGTCTTTGGCAGACTTGGCACAGCTTGTTGAAGTTACAAACAAAACAGTCAATTTGTGAAACCATGTAGATGTTCTTTCCTTTCCTTTTCCTCCAGCTGCTAAGTTTATTTATTTATCATGTCATCAGCAACCATACCATTGTATTACATTTCTAACAGAACAAAACAAACACACAGATTAAAAAAAACCCCACAGATTTTGCAAACTTGGTAGTTGGTTAAATGTCCTTTGACCAGTATCTGGCCACTTGGAGTGCCTCTGGTGTCGCTGCAAGAAGGTCCTCCATTGTGCATGTGGCAGGACTCAGGGTGCATTGCAGCAGGTGGTCTGTGGTTTGCTCCTCTCCACACTCGCATGTCGAGGATTCCACTTTGTAGCCCCATTTCTTGAAGGTTGGCTCTGCATCTTGTGGTGCCAGAGCGCAGTCTGTTCAGCGCCTTCCAAGTCGCCCAGTCTTCTGTGTGCCCAGGGGGGAGTCTCTCATCTGGTATCACCCATGAATTGAGGTGCTGGGTTTGGGCCTGCCACTTTGGACTCTCGCTTGCTGGGGTGTTCCAGCGAGTGTCTCTGTAGATCTAAGAAAACTATGTCTTGATTTAAGTCGTTGACGTGCTGGCTGATACCCAAACAGGGGATGAGCTGGAGATGTTTCTACCTTGGTCCTTTCATTATTGGCTGCTACTTCCCGGCGGATGTCAGGTGGTGCAATACCGGCTAAGCAGTGTAATTTCTCCAGTGGTGTAGGGCGCAGACACCGTGATAATGCGGCATGTCTCATTAAGAGCCACATCCACTGTTTTAGTGTGGTGAGATGTGTTACACACTGGGCATGCATACTCAGCAGCAGAGTAGCATAGCGCAAGGGCAGATGTCTTCACTGTGTCTGGTTGTGATCCCCAGGTTGTGCCAGTCAGCTTTCGTATGATGTTGTTTCTAGCACCCACTTTTTGCTTGATGTTCAGGCAGTGCTTCTTGAAGGTCAGAGCATGATCCAAAGTGACTCCCAGGTATTTGGGTGTGTTGCAGCTGCTAAGTTAACTTCCCCCAATGGTAGAAAATCCTGGGACACTCTACCCTAACCCTGAGCTGCTATGGTTAGAAAGAACAGGTCTTCCCCTATCTAAGCTCAAGGTTAGCTTTGGAGATGAAGTAATGAAGTCTCTCTCTCTCTCAATATGTTTCTCAATAAGCTTCTATATCTAACTAACTCAATATCTCAATTGCATCTATCTATCTATCTATCTATCTATCTATCTATCTATCTATCTATCTCAATTGTACTTACAATGGCTTGTCAGAGCTACCTAGCTTAACCTAACAGCACATCTGAGACTTTTTTCTAAACTGAAGGAGGCAGGGGAGATTCCAAAATGGGGAACTCATCCCCAGGAAAAAGGGCGGTCTCTAAACCCAAAGAGATACTTTTCTAAACCAATAGCTGCAAGGGCTTGCAAGCTGGCTTCCAACCTCTGTTAATAATTAACTTTCAGGTTGCTGCTGCAACCCTGGGGAAAATGCAAAGGAGTACTATCTCATGCAACTAAAAGGCAATGCAAACCAAGCTCCTGAAAGTCGAAACAACTAACACTGAGAAAATCGTATATTCAGTGATGTCGAACTGCATTCATTCAGTGTAGACGCACCTCTAGTCAAACTCTCAATATTAAACATAAATATTGCTATGATAATTCATCTTGTTGATGGAAAGCTTCCCACCGGAGTGGAAATAATCTATCGGATAGATAGCAAACTATTTAACCTCAGCAGACTGAAAGCCAAAACCAAGGTTACAACATCTGTTATAGAACTCCAGTATGCTGATGACAACATCATCTGTGCACATTCAGAAGAAGATCTACAAGCCACTCTAAACACCTTTGCAGAAGCATAAGAGAAGCTCGGCCTGTCATTGAACATCGAGAAAACCACAGTGCTCTTACAGCAGTCACCAGCCAATCCCTCTCCAATGCCAGAGATATAGCTTAATGGTGTAACATTAGAAAATGTTGACCATTTCCGCTCCCTTGGCAGCCACCTCTCCACCAAAGTCAACATTGACACTGAAATACAACACCGCCTGAGCTCTGCGAGTGCAGCATTTTTCTGAATGAAGCAGAGAGTGTTTGAGGACCGGGACATCCGTAGGGAGACCAAGGTGCTTGTTTATAAAGCTATTGTCCTCCCAACCCTGCTATATGCCTGCGAGACGTGGACTGTCTACAGACGTCACATGCAACTCCTGGAACGATTCCATCAGCGCTGCCTCCTGAAAATCCTGCAAATCTCTTGGGAAGAGAAGTGGACAAATGTCAGCGTGGTGGAAGAAGCAAAGACCACCAGCACTGAAGTGATGGTCTTCCACCATCAACTCCGCTGGACTGGCCACGTTGTCCAGATGCCCGACCACCGTCTCCCAAAGCAGTTGCTCTATTCCGAACTCAAGAACAGAAAATAGAATGTGGATGGGCAGGAAAAGAGATTGAAAGACGGGTTTAAAGCCAACCTTAAAAACCCTGGCATAGACACTGAGAACTGAGAGGCCCTGGCCCTTGAGCGCTCCAGCTGGAGGTCCGCTGTGACCAGCAGTGCTGTCGAATTTGAAGAGGCACGAATGGACGGCAAAAGAGAGAAACATGCCAAGAGGAAGGCGCGTCAAGCCAACCCCGACCAGGACCGCCTTCCCCCTGGAAACTGATGTCCTCACTGCGGGAGAAGATGCAGATCAAGAACAGGGCTCCACAGTCACCTACGGACTCACCGACAGAACATCGACCTTGGAGGACCATCATCCTTGGACTACGAGGGATCGCCTAACTAAGTAATAAACATAAATCTCTGGGTGTTCTCCCTCTCTGCCTCAGATTTTGACGTAGCCCTTGATTGTATAAGAGGAAAAGACCCATGCAACAACTGCAGCTGGGATCCGTTCCAGGCAACCGGCTGCTGCCATGCTGCAAAATATAGCAGATACACAAAAAGCTCAGGATTATAAATAGACTCCATGTTGCAAACCCACACGCCACATATTTGGGAGCAATCTGGTACAAATAGAATAGTATTGGTAAGAAACGTAAAAATAAGAGAAAAGTCTAGTAAAGAAACTTAGAAATAAAAATATATAAATTAAAAAATATTTATTTATTTATTTACTTTGCTTATATACCGCTGTTCTCAGCCCGAAGGCAACTCACAGCGGTTTACACACAATAAGAACAGCAATAATTCAATGCACAATATAACAATTGACCACTTAACACATTATCCACTTAATAAACAACAAGCAATTACACTAAACCATTATTACAATAACCAGCCCAATCGTCTCATCATCAAAGCGTAGTCCAGGTTCGTCGTCCATTGTTCCATTCCTATGTTCAATTACCAATATTGCACTAGATTACTCGAACGCCTGCACAAACATCCAGGTCTTCAACTTTTTTCGGAATGCCATGAGAGATGGTGCCAGCCTAATGTCCGTAGGAAGGGCGTTCCACAGCCGAGGGGCCACCACCGAGAAGGCCCTATCTCTCGTCCCCGCCAACCATGCTTGAGAAGCCGGCGGGATCGTAAATAAATAGTAAAGATATTCAAAACAGATGAAGCCGCGAGACTTATCAAGAAGAAGAGGACGACTGGAGGGAAAATAAAAATTTAGCGGAAGCTAAATTCCTAACTCCCAACCTTTTTTCCCCTTCCTCCCTCCCTCATTCCCACCCCAGCCAACCCCAATCCTTTTTAATGTACAGTGTTAACAATTATTGCAATAAAAATGATTTTTTAAAAAAAGAATCAATCAGGGCCAGCGAACACCTCCCAACAAAGGATTCCCCCAGGCAGCTACCAGCCAGGACTTGAAGCTGCAGGCCATTCAAGGTGACACATTGGAACATTCACATGTACTTCAAGCAGACAGGAGTTATTTCCCCCACTCTGGACATTCCACAGATATATAAACCTCACTTACTTAATTTCCAACAGATCTCACAACCTCTGTGGATGCTTGCCATAGATGTGGGTGAAACGTCAGGAGAAAATGCTTCCGGGACATAACCATACAGTACCAAAAACTCAAAGCAACCCAAAGGGGAAGCTATTTGGCAACTGTAGGAAAAAGCAGCTGGCCTGGATGATCTATGGATGGAACAAATCAAGAACTTTGGCCCAAAAGCAAGGTGCTGGCTGCTGGAGCTGATGAACAACTGCACTGCATCCTGTCAGATCCCCAAAATCTGGAGGAAAGCAAGAGTCATCGCCATCTTGAAGCCAGGCAAAGACCGTAATGACCCAAAAAGCTACAGACTAATCTCCATGTTGTGCCACCTCTACAAAGTTCTGGAGAGACTTATTTTGCATAGAACTACGGAAAAAATAGAGCCATGTCTGATCCCACAGCAAGCTGGCTTCAGGAAAGGCAAAAGCTGCACATCGCAAGTGCTGAACCTGACTCAGCACATAGAAGATGACTTTGAAAGGCAGCAGATCATAGGAGCTGTCTTCATAGATCTGTCAGCAGCTTATGAGACTGTGAACCACCGCCTCCTCCTAAGAAAAATGTATAATATCACAAAGGACGACCACCTCACCCGCCTCATAGGAGACCTGCTACAAAACAGGAGCTTTTTTGTTGAGTTCCAGGGCCAGAGAAGCAGATGGCGGAAACAGAAGAACGGCCTGCCTCAGGGGAGCGTGTTTGCTCCATCCATGTTCAACATCTACACAAATGACCAGCCACTGCCAGAAGGGACAGAGAGTTTCATCTACACTGATGATCATGCCATTACTGCTCAAGCAGGGAGCTTTGAGATGGTTGAACAGAAGCTCTCCGAAGCTCTAGGTGCCCTTACTGCGTATTACAGGGAAAACCAGCTGATGCCTAATCCATCTAAAACACAGACATGTGCCTTTCACCTTAAGAACAGATAAGCATCCTGAGCTCTGAGGATGACCTGGGAAGGAATCCCACTGGAGCACTGCAGCGCACCCAAATCCCTGGGAGTCACTCTGGACCGTGCCCTGACCTACAAGAAGCACTGCCTGAACATCAAGCAAACAGTGGGCGCTAGAAACAATATCATATGAAAGCTGACTGGCACAACCTGGGGATCACAACCAGACACAGTGAAGACATCTGCCCTTGCGCTATGCCACTCTGCTGCTGAGTATGCATGCCCAGTGTGGAACACATCTCACCACGCTAAAACAGTGGATGTGGCTCTTAATGAGACATGCCGCATTATCACGGGGTGTCTGCGCCCTACACCACTGGAGAAATTACAATGTCTAGCCAGTATTGCACCACCTGACATCTGTCGGGAAGGAGCAGCCAATAGTGAAAGGACCAAGGCAGTGACATCTCCAGCCCATCCCTGGTTTGGGTATCAGCCAGCATGCCTATGACTTAAATTAAGAAATAGTTTTCTAAGATCTACAGAGACACTCGCTGGAACACTCCAGCAAGCGAGAGTCCAAAAGTGGCAGGCTCAAACCCAGAACCTCAACCAATGGCTGATACCAAATGAGAGACTCCCCCCTGGGCACACAGAAGATTGGGCGACTTGGAAGGCGCTGAACAGACTGCGCTCTGGCACCACGAGATGCAGAGCCAACCTCAAGAAATGGGGCCACAAAGTGGAGTCCACGACATGCGAGTGTGGAGAAGAACAAACTACTGACCACCTGCTGCAATGCAACCTGAGCCCTGCCACATGCACAAGGGAGGACCTCCTTGCAGCAACACCAGAGGCACTCCAAGGGGACAGATACTGGTCAAAGGACATTTAATCAACTTTCAAGCTTGCAAACTTTGTGTTTTGTCTGTTTGTTTGTTTTGTTCTGTTAGAAATGTAATACAATTGTCTGGTTGCCCCTGACACGATAAAAAAAGCTCCTCCTCACTTTCGGCCATCAAAGTGGTTTCATCTGCATATCTAAGGTTGTTAATGTTTCTTCCAGCAATTTTCACCCCAGCCTTGCATTCATCAAGCCCTGCACGTCGCATGATGTATTCTGCATACAAGTTCAATAGGTTGGGTGGGAGTATAAATAAAGATTATTATTATGATTATGATGATGATGATTATTATTATTAATGGTAGGAAATGAGCGTTGGGTTCGAGAGACCTTTTGTTTGCTCCAACATGACTGTTCTTTGGTTCACCCCAAATGTGACACGAGAAGCAGGCTTAAATATTGGAAAGGAGAAGGGGAAAGACTTGTTTTCTGCCACTCCACAAACTCAAGCACAATGGAGTCATGGATTCAAATTGCGGGAAAAGAGATCTCACCAAAACATTAGGAAGAACTTTCTGATTGAAGACCTTCTTTGGCAGTGGAATATGCGGCTGCATTACAGTCTGGTGGAGCCTGCTTCTCTGGAGGGCTGGGTGGCCATCTGCCAGGAGGGTTTGGATGGTGCCTTCCTCTCTGGCAGAAAGGGACCAGACTGGATGGCCTTTTGAGGTCTCTTATAACTCTGTTCTCAGCCCAAAGGCAGGGTGCAATTGCAAGGGAGGGAAATCAAGCAAGCCGTGGGTTCCTTACCTTGCACCAAGGAGGAAAAGCAAAAGAGGAGGTGTCCCCAGAGGGGCCCTCCAGGCCAAAGGGCCACCATGGCTCAGGTCCTTCCTCCAGCCCCTGGCTCTGTTGCAAGCCTGGCATCCAAATCTTCAGTGACAGGAGGCGGGGAAAGCCTTCTCTCCCGGCTGGCTCTCATTGGACAAGAGGGATCTCCTGGTGATGCCATTGGGCAGGGCCTTGCATCCGTCATCACTGGGTTTTCGGCTACCAGGTGGCTTCTGATAGGGTGGAAAGATGAAATGGGCAAGGCATTTCCAAAAAGCTTGCACATCCCTTTTTCTGCCACTTGATTCAAGACTCTGGAACTATTCAGGGTGCATCTGCACTAGAAATTGAATGTAAGTTAAGTTTAGTTATTGCAATACATCTGCATGGGGAAACTCTGGCCCTCCAGGTGTTTCGGACTTCAGCTCCCACAATTCCTAACATTCTATTGGCTGTGAAGAATTGTGGGAGCTGAAGACCAAAACACCTGGAGGGCCAAAGTTTGGCCATGCCTGACTACACTGTAAAATGAATGCAGTTTGACTTCAGAGATATTGACAAGCTGGAATGTATCCAGAGGAGAGCGACTAAAATGATCAAGGGTCTGGAGAACAAACCCTATGAGGAGCGGCTTAAGGAGCTGGGCATGTTTAGCCTGAAGAAGAGAAGGCTGAGAGGGGATATGATAGCCATGTATAAATATGTGAGAGGAAGCCACAGGGAGGAGGGAGCAAGCTTGTTTTCTGCTTCCTTGGAGACTAGGATGCAATGGAACAATGGCTTCAAACTACAAGAGAGGAGTTTCCATCTGAACATGAGGAAGAACTTCCTGACTGTGAGAGCCGTTCAGCAGTGGAACTCTCTGCCCCGGAGTGTTTTTCAATAATAATAATTTCAGTTTTTCAATAATAATAATAATAATAATAATAATAATAATAATAATAGAATGATTTTTTTCTGTAAACAAACAGAAAAATAAATATAAAAGCATTCTGAAATTATCATATTATTCTTTTTTTTCTGCAGAAAGATAGCCAAGAGTTCCCAGTTTTTCAATAATAATAATAATAATAATAATAATAATAGAATGATTTTTTTTCTGTAAACAAACAGAAAAATAAATATAAAAACATTCTGAAATTATCATATTCTTTTTTTTCTGCAGAAAGACAGCCAAGAGTTCCCCTTTTTTCAATAATAATAATAATAATAATAATAATAATAATAATAGTAAAAGAATGATTTTTTCCAGTTTTTCAATAATAATAATAATAATAATAATAATAATAATAATAAATGATTTTTTCTGTAAACAAACAGAAAAATAAATATAAAAACATTCTGAAATTATCATATTCTTTTTTTTCTGCAGAAAGACAGCCAAGAGTTCCCCGTTTTTCAATAATAATAAWAATAATAATAATAGTAAAAGAATGATTTTTTCCAGTTTTTCAATAATAATAATAATAATAATAATAAATGATTTTTTCTGTAAACAAACAGAAAAATAAATATAAAAACATTCTGAAATTATCATATTATTATTTTTTCTCTGCAGAAAGACAGCCAAGAGTTCCCAGTTTTTCAATAATAATAATAAGAATAATAATAGAATGTTTTTTCTGTAAACAAACAGAAAAATAAATATAAAAACATTCTGAAATGATCATAATATTCTTTTTTCTCTGCAGAAAGACAGCCAAGAGTTCCCAGTTTTTCAATAATAATAATCATCATAATAATAGTAAAAAAATGATTTTTTCCAGTTTTTCAATAATAATAATAATAATAATAATACTCAGTTTTTGTGGGTTTTTTTGGGCTATATGGCCATGTTCTAGAGGCATTTCTCCTAAATAATAATAAATGATATTATTATTTATTATTATTTATTATTAATAAATAATAATAAATATTTATTAATTTATTATTAATAAATAATAATAATAGAATGATTTTTTTCTGTAAACAAAAAGAAAAATAAATATAAAAACATTCTGAAATTATCATATTATTCTTTTTTTTTCGGCAGAAAGACAGCCAAGAGTTCCCAGTTTTTCAATAATAATAATAATAATAATAATAATAATAATAATAATAGAATGATTTTTTCCTGTAAACAAAGCAAAAAAATAAATATAAAAACCCTGCGAACTCGGAAGTGTGGTGCCAAACTGCGAGGTACTGAGCATCTTTGACATTACTACCTCTATATAGCATTGTCTTCCTTGGCTTCTTCAAGCCCCCCCCTCTTCCTCTTGGCTCCGCCCACTGAAGCGCCGGCGAAGCTTCTGGGTGCGCGCGGTGCATTGTGGGCAGGGAAACCGTTAGCAACAGGGCGGCCGCCAAGATGATGGTGAGTGACTGAGGGGAAGAGGACGGGCATGGCAAGCGGGGGTTATCCGCCGCCATCCGCCTCGGAGTCGGGCCCGTTCTCACCGGGAAGGGTCTTGCCTTCTCCGGAAGAGTCTCCCCCGTGAGAACGGGGCCATATTGGCAGCGGGGCCGGAAGAGTTCGGGGGCTGAGCCGGGGCAAAAATGGAGGCCGCTTGGAGCCTCGTTGTAGCGGGTGTAACAGGCGAAGGGGCGCGCATGCGCGTTAGGCGAAAGCTGGGGTCTCTAATCAGACTCACATTCCCACTAAGTAGTTGGGGAACCTCGCCTCTTCAATGAAGGGAGCGGCTGGCGCGGGGCATCATGGGAGTTGTAGTTTGTTCTCGCCTTGCCTTTCCCTTACAAATGTATGAATGTGTTTTAATATTTACAAAGGTCCTGAGGCTGTTAGGAATGGTGGGAGTTGGGGTCCAAAACACCTAGAGGGCCCAAGTTTGTCCGTACCTGTTATAGACTCATATAACACAATTTCACGCAATTTAGCTCAATAACAACAACAACACTTAATTTATATTCCGCCCTATCTCCCCAAGGGGACTCAGGGCGGATCACAGTACATATACACGGCAAGCATTCAATGCCCTTTTGTATAGACAATTCAAGGACAGAACAGGAGGAGGTGTTCTTGTGGGTTTTTTCAGGCTATAGGGCCATGTTCTAGAAGCATTTTCTCCTGACGTTTCGCCTGCATCTATGGCAAGCATCCTCAGAGGTAGTGAGGTCTGTTGGAGGTAGGGAAATGGGTTTATATATCTCTGGAAAGACCAGGGTGGGACAAAGGACTTTTGTCTGATGGAACTAGGTGTGAATGTTTCAACTGACCACCTTGATTGGCATTTGATGGCCTGGCTGTGCCTGGGGGAATCTTTTGTTGAGAGGTGATTAGATGTGCCTGATTGTTTACTCTCTGTAATTGTCGAAGGCTTTCATGGCCGGAATCACTGGGTTGTTGTAAGTTTTTTCGGGCTATATGGCCATGTTCTAGAGGCATTTTCTCCTGACGTTTCACCTGCATTTATGGCAAGCATCCTCAGAGGTAGTGAGGTCTGTTGGAACTAGGAAAATGGGTTTATATATCTGTGGAATGACCAGGGTGGGACAAAGGACTTTTGTCGGCTGGAACTAGGTGTGAATGTTTCAACTGACCACCTTGATTAGCATTTAATGGTTGTGAGAGTGGTCCAGCATTTCTGTGTTGGCGTCTCTGTGTAGTCTGGACCACTCCAACAACCACCATGTCAGACTACACAGAGAAGCCATTGAAATCCACAAGCATGTGGACAATTTCAACAGAAAGGAGGAGACCATGAAAATGAACAAAATCTGGCTACCGGTATTAAAAAACTCTAAAATTACTACAGCAAAACAGCAGAGAGGAAACAACCAGGCACATCTTAACACCTCTGAACAGAACATTTTCCCAGGCTCAGGGACGCAGGGAGCATACAACGCCCTTGTTGTACCAGCTCCATTGGCTGCCGATTTGCTACCGGGCTCAATTCAAGGTGCTGGCGTTGGCCTACAAGGCCCTAAACGGTTCCGGCCCAAGATACCTCTCTGACCACATCTCGGCCTATGAGCCCACGAGGACTTTGAGATCGTCCGGGGAGGCCCTGCTCTCGATCCCGCCTGCCTCACAGGCACGCCTGGCGGGGACGAGAGACAGGGCCTTCTCGGTGGTGGCTCCTCGGCTGTGGAACACCCTTCCCGTGGACATCAGACTGGCGCCCTCCCTTATGATATTCCGCAAGAAACTAAAGACGTGGCTGTTTGAGAGGGCGTTCGTACAAGAAGTGCAATAAATGGCAATGATAACAGGAATGGTACAACGGAAAACGATACTGGATTGTGGTTTAACAATGAGACGATGCGAATGGCTTTTTGTATTATTGATATTGATATTGTTGATGTTGTTGATGACGATGCTTTTGTTATTGCTAGATTGATTTTAGATTGTGTCTTGTAATTTGCACCCTGTCCTCTCTATGTTGTACACCGCTGTGAGTCGCCCCCGGGCTGAGAACAGCGGTATATAAGCACAGTAAATAAATAAATAAATAAATGTGCCTGATTGTTTACTCTCTGTTTTGCTGTTGTAATTTTGTAATTACCAGTAATGGCTACCAGTATTAAAAAACTCAAAAATTGCAACAGCAAAACAACAGAGAGTAAACAATCAGGCACATCAAATCACCTCTCAAAGAAAATTCCCCCAGGCACTTCCAAGCCATTAAATGCTAATCAAGGTGGTCAGTTGAAACATTCACACCTAGCTCCAGCAGACAAAAGTCCTTTGTCCCACCCTGGTCATTTCACAGATATATAAACCCATTTCCTGTTGTAGTCACTGCGAATCGTACATTTGGTAATCTCTGCGCCTGCGCAGCAACACTTTTAACCTTCTGAAAGCAAAAAAATTGACAGTTAGCCCAGGCCACGCCCACCTTCCCCTGGTATAAATAGCCCAGCTACCAGTATTAAAAAACTCAAAAATTACAACAGCAAAACAACAGAGAGTAAACAATCAGGCACATCAAATCACCTCTCAAAGAAAGATTCCCCCAGGCACTTCCAAGCCATCAAATGCTAATCAAGGTGGTCAGTTGAAACATTCACACCTAGCTCAAGCAGACAAAAGTCCTTTGTCCCACCCCGGTCTTTCCACAGATATATAAACCCATTTTCCTACTTCCAACAGACCTCACTACCTCTGAGGATGCTTGCCATAGATACAGGCGAAACGTCAGGAAAAAATGCCTCTAGAACATGGCTCGAAGAAGTTGGGCTCGAATCCAGCTCTGTCGCTCCATCTTCTATGATGAAGAGCCATCAGGACTTCCTCCTTCCTTTTGGTTGCCCAGCATTTTCCGATCCTTAGCATAGTGCCTAATTTCTCTAATTAGAGCTATGGCTATTTTCGAATTGCTTAGGTCAACAGCAAGCTGGGCTTGACAGTCAGTAGCTCACGTCAACTCAGGGCTTCGAACTGGCAACCTTCAATTATACAAATATACAATAATAAAGCAGTATATCATTAAATATTATCAGTAGTAATTATATTTCATATAGTAGTATTAACATATTACAATATTATTGTATTGTCGAAGGTTTTCATGGCCAGAATCACTGGGTTGTTATAGGTTTTTTTGGGTTATATGGTCATGTTCTAGAGGCATTTCTCCTGACGTTTCGCCTGCATCTATGGCAAGAATCCTCAGAGGTAGTGAGGTCTGTTGGAACTAGGAAAAACTCTAAAATTAGAACAGCACAACAACAGAGAGGAAACAAACAAGGACATCTAATCACCTCTCAACAAAAGATTGCTCCAGGCACTGCCAGGCCATCAAATGCTAATCAAGGTGGTCAGTTGAAACATTCACACCTAGCTCCAGCAGACAAAAGTCCTGTGGTCATTCCACAGATATATAAACCCTTTTTCCTAGTTGCAACAGACCTCACTACCTCTGAGGATGCTTGCCATAGATGCAGGTTCAGTGTCTCCCTGCTTCTGTATTATTCTGTATGCAAGTGAAAAAACTGGTGGATAACAATGTTGACCTTTTTAACATAGAGCCCTGTAAAGGACTGTCAAAATGTAATATGCAGAAATATCTTTTGTACTTCTGGATATTGGCATTTTCCTTTGTCTAATACTTTGTCTGCCTTACAGCCCACACCGGTTATTCTGCTGAAGGAAGGCACCGACACTTCCCAGGGAATCCCTCAGCTTATTAGTAATATCAGTGCCTGCCAAGTCATTGCAGAAGCCATCCGCACTACGCTCGGCCCTCGGGGCATGGACAAACTCATTGTTGATGACAGAGGTGAGCTGGGCTACGTCTGTTAAGTGCAAGTGTGACTATGTCCCTTTGTACAAGGTCTCTCTTTAGAGTAATCCTGAAGTATTCCCAGTTCTTAACTGAGCAGTGGTGAAATACTTTGAATTGACATTCACGGTTCAATGCTGCATGAATATCTTAGAATCATAGAATCATAGAATCAAAGAATTGGAAGAGACCTCATGGGCCATCCAGTCCAACCCCCTGCCAAGAAGCAGGAATATTGCATTCAAATCACCCCTGACAGATGGCCATCCAGCCTCTGTTTAAAAGCTTCCAAAGAAGGAGCCCCACCACACTCCGGGGCAGAGAGTTCCACTGCTGAACGGCTCTCACAGTCAGGAAGTTCTTCCTAATGTTCAGATGGAATCTCCTCTCTTGTAGTTTGAAGCCATTGTTCCGCGTCCTAGTCTCTAAGGAAGCAGAAAACAAGCTTGCTCCCTCCTCCCTGTGGCTTCCTCTCACATATTTATACATGGCTATCATATCTCCTCTCAGCCTTCTCTTCTTCAGGCTAAACATGCCCAGCTCCTTAAGCCGCTCCTCATAGGGCTTGTTCTCCAGACCCTTGATCATTTTAGTCGCCCTCCTCTGGACACATTCCAGCTTGTCAATATCTCTCTTGAATTGTGGTGCCCAGAATTGGACACACTATTCCAGGTGTGGTCTAACCAAAGCAGAATAGAGGGGTAGCATGACTTCCCTAGATCTAGACACTATGCTCCTATTGATGCAGGCCAAAATCCCATTGGCTTTTTTTTTGCCGCCACATCACATTGTTGGCTCATGTTTAACTTGTTGTCCACGAGGACTCCAAGATCTTTTTCACACGTACTGCTCTCGAGCCAGGCATCCCCCATTCTGTATCTTTGCATTTCGTTTTTTCTGCCAAAGTGGAGTATCTTGCATTTGTCACTGTTGAACTTCATTTTGTTAGTTTTGGCCCATCTCTCTAATCTGTCAAGATCGTTTTGAATTCTGCTCCTGTCCTCTGGACTATTGGCTATCCCTCCCAATTTGGTGTCGTCTGCAAACTTGATGATCATGCCTTCTAGCCCTTCATCTAAGTCATTAATAAAGATGTTGAACAGGACCGGGCCCAGGACGGAACCCTGCGGCACTCCACTTGTCACTTCTTTCCAAGATGAAGAGGAAGCATTAGTGAGCACTCTCTGTGTTCGTCCACTTAACCAATGACAGATCCACCTCACCGTAGTTTTGCCTAGCCCACATTGGACTAGTTTCCTTGCCAGAAGGTCATGGGGGACCTTGTCGAAGGCCTTACTGAAATCCAGGTACGCTACATCCACGGCATTCCCCGCATCTACCCAGCTTGTAGCTCTATCGAAGAAAGAGATCAGATTAGTCTGGCATGACTTGTTTTTGATAAATCTATGTTGACTATTAGCGATGACTGCATTTGTTTCTAAGTGTTTGCAGACCGCTTCCTTAACAATCTTTTCCAGAATCTTGCCTGGTATCGACGTGAGGCTGACCGGACGGTAGTTGTTTGGGTCATCCTTTTTTCCCTTCTTGAAGATTGGGACCACATTGGCCCTCCTCCAATCTGCTGGAACTTCTCCCGTTCTCCAAGAACTCTCAAAGATGGTTGCCAATGGTTCCGAAATGACTTCCGCTAGTTCCTTCAATACTCTGGGGTGTAGTTGATCTGGCCCTGGGGACTTGAACTCATTAAGAGCGGCCAGGTATTCCTGGACGACTTCTTTCCCAATTTGGGGTTGGATGTCCTCCAATCCCTCATCCACTCCATCTTGCTGAGGTTGAAGACTCTCTTTTTTTTTTCCCTTGGAGACTTTTCGTGTTTGATGGAGGACCCTCTGACATGTTCACTCTAGAAATCTCAAGGTCCTCCAGCATGACTGAAAGAAGTTGGCTGTAGAGTCATACTGGAGAACCTAGATACTCTTAGAACACTTTAATCAAGTCTGAATAATCAACCCCACAGAAGTCAAATCTGTAGATAGGCGGGGCTGATTGTACTCTTTAATAAATTTCCTTTGTTAAACTTCACAGGCAAAGCAACTATTTCCAATGATGGTGCCACCATCCTGAAGCTCCTTGATGTGGTACACCCTGCTGCCAAGACCCTGGTAGACATCGCCAAATCCCAGGATGCTGAGGTGGGTATAGAAAGTGTGACAATTGCCCTATAATGAGTGAAAAAGATACTGCAGATCCCAGATTGATTTAATTTTTTCAATTTTCTCTTCTATATTGTGTGTTCCCTGTAGCTGGAATAAAACACGGATCTCTCTTTAGTGGTAGAAAGCTGCCTGTAGTCCCCAGTAAACGGGGTGGGAAGACTCTCCATTGTCACTCTGTTTCGTAGCTGACATGAAAAGGAGACAGAAAGAAAAGGGCTGTTGCAATTTGAAAAGATAAATGAGACAGGAATGAGACAGCTGGTATTAAGAACGGTGGTGTTGGGTGGTCTCGGCTATGTAGGCAATCAGCATGACTTCTTTTGCACTGAGGTTTCTGAAATTGCTGGTAATCCAGAGATTTGCTTCTTCGTTAAACACTAAGGATTCCTTGCCAGATTGACAAGGTTTTTGATGTTGAGACTGTCAGAGAGCACAGAAGAGGAGAGAGAACTGAAGGCAGATGGAGATGGTGGGGTTTGTCACAGGAAATCTGTTATGTTTTGCCAGTAAGAAGAATAATGAAGGCGATTGTGCTTTTCGGGTTTTAGAAGTCAAAAGTCTAAAGTTACTTATTGAATAAGAGACATGACGGAAAATGCTTGCTGGGAAATAAGTCACTAACATAAATATGAACCCTTTGGTCTTAGATTCTTTGAAGAAGATGAATTGTGAGCTCTGACATGGCCGGCTTCTCTAAGAGAAGCCATCTGCGAAGTTTCGTAGCTTGATGAAGAAATAAAGTTTAATTTTGGTCACTTGGAGATATTTCCCATGCATTAGCAAAATTGACTATATAAGGGAAGCAGTAAGCCTAGGTAGGAATCCAGTCTGGACACTTTGGACCTCTCAAATACGGTCTTTCTGGATCTACTCCTTCTTGACTTGTCATTGGACAAGAAAGAGATAAGCCTCTAGAGCAGTGGTTCTCAATCTGTGGGTCCCCAGATGCTTTGGCCTTCAACTCCCAGAAATCCTAACAGTTGGTCAACTGGCTGGGATTTCTGGGAGTTGTAGGCCAAAACACCTGGGGACCCACAGGTTGAGAACCACTGCTCTAGAGACATCTTCAAAGTATTTCAGACCACAATAGCAATGGACCCTTAACCCATGGATTGACAATTGAGGGGTGGTTAGCCCTCAGATTATAACTTTAAAAGCTGCCAGACTGACATTTAGCGGTCACGTTACTCAAGAAGCTGCAACACTGATGCAATTCCTCTATGAAGAGACAGGATCGAAGAACCAAGTCTTGTTTCAGGGGAGTTTTGCTAAGGAACGTGCTTTCTAAGCATATTTATCTTTTGTCAGGTTGGCGACGGCACCACTTCGGTTACCCTTCTAGCTGCTGAATTCCTAAAACAGATCAAACCATATGTGGAAGAAGGTCTTCACCCTCAGATTATCATCCGTGCCTTCCGTACCGCAACCCAGTTGGTAAGGAGATGCACTGCATCCTGTGAAGCGGATTTGTTGGGGTTAGAGCAAGTATGGGCGAACGTCAGCCCTCCAGGACTTTTGGACTTCAAGTTCGGAATTGTGGGAGTTGAAGTCTAAAACGCCTGGACTGCTGAAGTTTTCCCATGCCTGGGTTATGGATACAGAATCACCTCATAAAAGGAGAGACAATGAATTTTTAAGAAGTATTATTTTTAACTGAGGGAATACTCTCCAGGACCCTTTAGGTTCTTCAAAACTACTTTAGATTTCTAGATAGACTATTTTAATCATATCTATTAATAATCTAATCTGCAACAGTCAAATCTGCCTGGGAAATGAAAGAACATACAGAAAATTCTTTCTCATACTTGATTTAAAGAATTAGAAAAGTTTTTTTAATTATGTCAGAAGCGACTTGAGAATATATTGCAAGAGAATTGGCCGTCTACAGAGATGTTGCCCATGGAATGCCCGGATGTAATAGCTGGGAGGCTTCTCTCATGTCCCCGCATGCTAGAGCTGACAGATGGGATCTCACCTCGTCTCGCGAAGCCCCCGGTGGTGCAGTGGGTTAAACCCTGTGCCGGCAGGACTGAAGACCGACAGGTCGCAGGTTCGAATACAGGGAGAGGCAGATGAGCTCCCTCTATCAGCTCCAGCTCCTCATGCAGGAACATGAGAAAAGCCTCCCACAAGGATGAAAAAACATCAAAATCATTAGGTCAGCAGTTCAGCTGGCACAAGGGTTTAACCCATTGCGCCACTGCAGCTCCTAATTAGACAAGTGATCAGTCTGAAATACCAGCAGCTTGTTTATCTAACCAGTTTTAATGCGTACTGGAAGCACATTTTTGGAGTGAGCGTCATTCTCCCTCAGAAGTAATATAAGTCTCCTGCTATGGAATTATGCATATCCTGAACCTGAAATTCTGTCTTGTGGCATTTATGCTGATCTTGTTCATATGGGAGTTGGAACTGAATAAACATCCTTGAGGCCTCATCCACTTCTGCCCTGATATCTTTTGCTAGTTCAGCAGTGAGGGCAGTGTTGGTGTTTAAATTAATTATTTTACAAAATGGTATTTTCGCTCTACAAGTGGCTCTCTTATTAGATTTGTGCCTGTGGTGAAGTCTCTCAGTTGGATACCTGCATGTGATGTCTGAAACATCATGATGTTGGCATGTAGACCTGGCAGGGATTGCGTTCATTCTGGTCCTTGTCTTGTTTTGGCAGGCTGTAGATAAGATCAAGAGCATTGCAGTCACAATCAAGAAGACGGACAAAGCGTAAGTCTACTGTTCTCTTCTTCATGATCATTAGAATAATCCTACAGTGCTTCCTCTCTTTGTTGTCTAGCATGCATGCTAGAAATTTGAAATGTGTGGATGAATCTGCATTTATTCTTTGATTAATTTTGTCCTGGGGATTTGTGGCATTGATTTGAATTGTATGGAAGTTTATGATAGACTCACAGGGCATCTCTGTTTTTGAGTGAAGGACATAGAGAGACAGCTGCACTTTTATCTTACCACTCCTAGAAAAGATGGAATAGTCCTGTCAATCAAAACTGAATGGGATCAGGACTAGGGATCATATTTTTTAGACTAGGCTGCTGCAGCCCTGACTGGTCAACATGTGATGAAGAAAAAGTGGTATTTGCAGTCAAACAACAACTTGAAGGATGCATAATCCACTCAGGAATAGATCCAGCCTCCTCCAGTTTCTATCCTTTTAGCCCCACTTTTCTCAGTATGGGTTGCAACTGAATAAGCGATCAATAGGTGATTGGTAGACTTGTCATGCAACATGATCTACTAATTTGGTAGGCCCTTCACTTTCATGGAGCTAAGGGGCATAGGACCCCTGGAAAAATGGAACAAAAATGCCCGCTCTTAACATTAAGAGAACAGCTTTCTAGGTCCTCCAGCACAACTTTGTGGTTAACTTCACTGAGTCGTGCTAAAAGACCTGGATATCTCTAGAGGTCATTTTAATAAAACTGCAAATGTTAAATACACAAGTGTGGAGGGCTTGGCTAGTTTTCTTCAAAAAAATAAAAATGGTAGAGTGCTAATTTAAAAAAACAATCCAAGAGAGAGGAGAATACAGATGATTAAAATTTCCCAGCACAAAAACCGGGCTTAAAAGACCAAGATCACAAATATTTTAAAGGTGTGAGAAATGTTTTTACAAAAGCTTCTTTGCCTGGCAGTGAAGAAGCAAGCATTCCCAAATATGTTGTCTTCTTCCTCCTTTTGCATGCTAGCTGCCTTTTTTCATTTGGCGGAGGCACTCAGAGCAGGCTAGATAGATTTGGCATTAAAAGCCTTTGTCGATTGCAGTGTTAATAATAATAACAACAATAACAACAATAATAACACTTTATTTATATTCCGCCTTTCTCACCCCGAAGGGGACTCAGGGCGGATCACAGTACAAATACTTGGCAAACATTCAATGCTGCTTTGTATAGACAGTACACAGACAGACAACAGAAGGAGGTGGTTTGTTTCGATTCAGTGTCCAGCTGTTTTTGATGACATGGAAGGTTGGGCTTGAGTCCAGGGGGTGCTGTTGCTCTATCCTCTATGACGAAGAGCTGTCAGGACTTCCTTCTTCCTTTTGGTCGCCCAGCATTTTCTGATATTTRTTTATYGTGTTGTAAAACACCTCCCCTGATTTTTAGCGGTACCTAATTTCTCTAATTACAGCTAAYGCTGTTTTTGAATTGCTTAGGTAAARAARGAGCTAGGGTGTCATTTGGTAGRGCACGCCAACCCAMMGRWWGAKCTWMCAACCTTTTGGTTGATAGYTCTTGCAATTGCTGACMATTTACTAGCTGTGCTAAACCMCCGGCCTAATTCCCTCATGTTATAATGAGTGTTATGACACCCTTGTTGTAGCAGTAGAGATAATTMATTTTAGGCAGAAATGCTGTTCATCTCTCCYTCCTTCTTGSTGCAYTCACTAGCAAACCTRAACAATACAGAAAAGTTGAAAATTTTGATWAGCGTGGGATTTAAACCTGGGTGCAAGTGAAATGTTTCTAGTTTGATCCACCTYCAGACAGTGACAGTTCTTTTAGGGCTGTGATGTGCTGATTTCAGAGTCCCTTAAGAGCAGTTGAAACTGAGCCTGACCTTCCCTCTCTTGCAGGGAGTTAAGAGGCCTGTTGGAGAAATGCGCAAGCACCGCCTTGAGCTCCAAACTGATTTCCTCCCAGAAGGAGTTCTTTGCCAAGATGGTGGTGGATGCTGTCATGATGTTGGATGAGCTGCTGCAGATCAAAATGATTGGAATCAAGAAGGTGCAGGGAGGAGCCCTGGAGGTATGTTTGTGTCCTCCAGGCTTCGTCTTGGTTGACCAGTCTCTATCTGGGTTATTTTCTATGACTTAAAATAGTCAGTGGATATAACAAGTGATTCTGAGACCTGATTCAGATCGTACTCTACCCTGGAGCCATGGGCAAATGTCTTTTCTGTGGATTGTATGTGGTTTGAAAAAAGGAAGCTATAGCTTACAAATTTACAAGAAACAGGATAATGTTAGAGTACTTCTACACTGTACGAGAACAGGCATGGGCAAATTTTGGCCCTCCAGGTGTTTTTTGGAGTTCAGTTCCCTTAATTCTGAATTGTGAGAGCTGAAGTCCAAAACACCTGGAGGGCCAACGTTTGCCCATGCCTGATCTAGAAGTATTTATGTCTTTTCCATCACAAATTAACAAAGTGGTGTCAAACTGCATTCATTCAGCAGTGTAGATGCATCATTAGAGTTAAATATATAGAGTTTCTCCATCGTGGTCAAATTGCACATATGGTAATTCCTGCGCAGAACAACTGTTCTGCGCAGGCATTACCATATGTGCGAATTCACAGGTGACCACTTGGGAAACTGTTGTTACAGGTAAGCAACCTATATTTCATTGGTGATCACATGTAGTTAGTCTAAAATGACTTGAGCCAGGGATCAATTTTTGCTGCCTTAGTAAACAGGTTTGGTTTGGGATTTATAAGTTACTAGCCGTCCCCTGCCACGTGTTGCTGTGGCCCACATGGGAGTTCTGTGTGGAAGGTTTGGCCCAATTCTATCGTTGGTGGGGTTCAGAACGCTCTGTGATTGTAGGTGAACTATAAATCCCAGCAACTACAACTTCCAAATGTCAAGATTCTCTTTTTCTCAAACTCCACTACTTTTCACATTTGGGCATATTGAGTATTCGTGTAGAGTTTGGTCCAGATCCATCATTGTTTGAGTCCACAGTGATCTCTGGATGTAGGTGAACTACAACTCCAAAACCAAAGGACACTGCCCACCAAACCCTTCCAGTATTTTCTGTTGGTCTTGGGAGAACTGTGAGCCAAGTTTGGTTCAATTCCATCATTGGTGAGGTTCAGAATGCTCTTTGATTGTGAGTGTACTATAAATCCCAGCAACTACAACTCCCAAATGACAAAATCATTTTTTTTGAGTGAAGGACATACATTGGGTTGTTGGGTGTCTTGTGTCCAAATTTGGTGTCAATTCGTCCAGTGATTTTTGAGTTCTGTTAATCCTACAAATGAACATTACATTTTATTTATATAGATTGCTCAGTCAGTCTGCGCCCATGCATTTCTTGTCAAAGGAATAAATTAAATGAAGAGGTCTGTTGATTTTTGCTCATGAACCTGTGTCCACAATGGATATTTTTGGTTTTGCTTTTTTTCAGGATTCCCAGCTGGTGGCAGGGGTTGCCTTCAAGAAGACCTTCTCTTACGCTGGGTTTGAGATGCAACCTAAGAAGTACCAGTTCCCCAGGATTGCCTTGCTTAATATTGAGCTAGAGCTTAAGGCAGAGAAGGACAATGCTGAAATCAGGGTCAACACTGTAGAGGTAAGCGGATGGTTTTGCTGAAAGACTTTTGGGAGGAGAGGCTGTAGGAATATGGCTACTTCTGGCAAAAGATGGGAGCCGAGCGCCCAGGAACATTTAAAGTAGGTGTAAATAACTCGGTATGTTATACAGTAATACTTCCATAACTGCAGAAGCCATACCTGCCGTTTTGCTTACCCTCGCATGGGGTGAGGGTGGGAGTGGTTTCTTTAGGAATCTGTAGGTCCTCCAACACAACTCTGTAGTATGGTGGCTTCAGAAGCAATGTCATTTAATTGCATTCAATCCTATCTGCAGTTTCACATAACCTGGTGGATTCAGAGTCTTACTGAATACTATTTTATATGATAACTGTTGTTTCTACCTGCAGCTAGCACTGTATTTTACTGATTTAAACCAGGGCCATTGTGAAGTTGTGATGATTTATAATAATAATAATTATTATTTATTTATTCATTTATTTCATTTATATACCGCCTTTCTCAGCCCTCAGGCGACTCAAAGCGGTTAACAACAGCAAAATCCAATGCAAAAACATCACAAAATTAATATGGGACAGTTAAAAACAGTGGCATAATCAACGATTAAACATCAATATAACAATCATTAGCGTCTCATCAGTAAAATCAGAATCCAGTCTCATCATCCATTATTACGTATTCCTATATTCAATTACACTGCTTAATCGAATGCTTGTTCGAACAGCCAGGTCTTCACTGGAATAAAAACTGTAATAATAATAACTTCATTTATATCCCGCCAACATCTCCCCAAGGGGACTTGGGGCGACTTACATGAGGTCACGCCCATCAATACAATATACACAATATAACACAAAAACACAACAGAAAATCAGAAAATAAAATAACCTAAAATACAAAACCAATGTATATAAACGACACAACAATATAAAATCAAAACATTACGACGTTAAAAATAATCACCATGGGCAGGGCCAAATTCAAGGATTAAAATTTTAAAACACTGGGAGATAGGGCAATGTAAAATATCAATAAATTTATCTGGTTGTTCATTGTTTATGTTATTGTTTTTACACTTCTAGTGTTTTGTGTGCTTGCACCTTTGAGTGTTTTGTGAGCCACCTCAAGTCCCTTTGGGAGATGATGGCGGGTTACACATAAAGGTTGTTGTTGTTTAAACTTCAGTAAGGTGTATTATCTGTACCCTCCTTTCAATGAGAACATGTTCAAAGGATTCTGAACTACTCTCTTGGTTTCTCTTTTCTTCCACACTTCAGTTCTGCCTATTACAACCATTGAGTAAGGCATGGTTGTTACATGGGCAAAGAACATTGGAGAAGAGAGCATTTTTGGGTGTCATGTCCCCCAGATGATCAGAGTGACCTCTGAAGGAGAGGGGGAGAGTATCTGAATCCAGTTGTTTGGTGGCACTTGGGTCAGCATGTGCAAACCAACCTGTGAATGTGAATTGTATCGCTGGATTTGAGGATTTTGTGTGCCCAGGTGCTTTTGTGCAAATGGTGGAGCGGCAGCTTCTTCATTTCCTCTTTTTTGTCACAAATATTTTACCTCTCGAGCTAAAGAAACAATGCTGAGACTGTCTCAATCTTCTCTTTGGCAGGATTACCAGGCGATTGTGGATGCAGAGTGGAACATTTTGTATGACAAACTGGACAAACTCCACAAATCGGGGGCCAAGGTCATCCTCTCCAAGCTTCCTATTGGGGATGTGGCTACGCAATACTTTGCCGACCGGGACATGTTCTGCGCCGGCCGAGTCTCCGAGGAAGACCTCAAGAGGACCATGATGGTAAGTGAGGCTTAAGGCTGGCCTCCCCATTTGAGAAGTTGGTTTCATCCTTTCTGAGAAAGCCTGGCAATATACAGAATGTCATGATATTGCACTGCTGTTTTCCATATAACTGTTCTTAGGAGAAATAAAGCACATTATCATGTGTCTATGCTGACTGCATGGGGATTGTAGCTCAGGCATGGGCAAATTTTGGCCCTCTCTCCTGGTGTTTTGGACTTCAACGCCCACAATTCATAACAGCCAGTAGGCTGTATTGTCAAAGGCTTTCACTGGGTTCACTGGGTTGTTGTAGGGTTTTTTTGGCTGTATGGCCATGTTCTAGAAGCGTTCTCTCCTGACGTTTCGCCTGCATCTATGGCAGGCATCCTCAGGTTGTGAGGACTTCAACTTCTGAGGATGCCTGCCATAGATGCAGGTGCTTCTAGAACATGGCCATACAGCCTGAAAAACCTACAGCAACCCAGCCAGAAGGGTGTTAGGAATTGTGGAAGTTGGAGTCCAAAACACCAAGAGGGCCAGAGTTTGCCCATTCCTGTTCTAGCTCATTGAGGTTTGTACCATTGAGCCACTTTCTCATTATATAGTGAAATCTCCATTTTAAAAAAGTTATTGTTGGAAACCTTTTGATTTTAATAAAAACTTTCCCAAATGCGTTTCTCTCTCTCTCTAGTTTTATGTGAAACCATTGTCCTTGGGGTGTGTTGTGTGTTGAATAAGACAAATAAGCAAGTGAAACTGATGCAAGTAGCTTTTAATTAGCTCCATACAGCCTTATTCAGGGGTCCTTCCTGTTGGATTCCCCTCTCCTTTTAAACACTTTGTTTGCGGAATGTTAGTAGTCAACTCAGCTTGCAAATTGGATTGATTATTTCTCTTTCATGCTTTATCATTGACCGAGTCTTCATAATTTTGGTGAATCACATAAATTGAGTGATTTGTGCCTTTACAGTACATTATTTAGAACCTTCTAGAGCCATCATGTAAATGTTTTTTTTCTGATATATGAAGTCAGTGTAGTTCTGCGCACTCCCTCAGTTCCTTTTCAACTAGAGGCTCCTTCTTTGGAAGCTTTTAAACAGAGACTGGATGGCCATCTGTCAGGAATGCTTTGAATGCAATTTTCCTGCTTCTTGGCAGGGGGTTGGACTGGATGCCCCATGAGGTCTCTTCCAACTCTAGGATTCTATGATTCTGCTTCTGCATCATTTGGCCAGAGCGGTCAGTGGAACCATTGGCAGTCATTAGTTTTTCTTCTGGTTCTTTGGCTTTTTGCTGACCTCAAGTCACAAAACCACCAGTGGGATTTTGGGCTTAATAGCATTTTGACTGAAAGACAGAACAGCTTTGTCTTCCCCAGCCTGAGAGAGCCAGGTGTCATGTTTCTGCCAGTAGCCCTGGCCTGTGTTCGTATCTCTTAAAAAGAAATATTTAAAAAAAATCATAGAACAAATCTGGATTAAATTTTTTGTATATGAATGTGTGCTGCAATATAAGAGATTATGTATTGACAAAAATCAAGGAGTGGTAAAAGAGGAAAATGCAGATGTAATATTACATTATAGTGGTATGGTGCAATATAGTAATGTTTAATGCCGATATTGTACTATGCTAATAATATAATATATTATATGTAATATATACCTTGTAAGCTGCTCTGAGTCCCCTTCGGGGTGAGAAGGATGGCATATAAATGTTGTAAATAAATAAATAAATAAATAAAGGGTTGCTGTGAGTTTTCCAGGCTTTATGGCCATATTGCTATGAACCCGGAAAACTCACAGAAAACCAGTGATTCCAGTCATGAAAGCAGATATAGATTGGACTCAATTGTCAAGATATTTAATCTGTTTAAAAACCACACACATTTTCTTATCAGTAAGCAAACTTGTTTGGTGGAGGTGAGTGGGGTTGCTGAATGGTTTAATTTTGTATCATTATTTGCTCTGAAAGTGTGCCCATTTCTATTCCTTCTAGGCCTGCGGTGGGTCCATCCAGACCAGTGCAAATTCCCTGACAGATGACGTCCTTGGGCGCTGTGAGCTTTTTGAGGAGGCGCAGGTTGGAGGCGAGAGGTAAAGCTGGTCCGGTTCCAGATCATCATCATCATCAGTGTGCCCAGCTCCCCCATTTTTCAGCATTTCCTAGGCCAGGTATGGGCAAACTTTGGCCCTCCAGGTGTTTTGAACTCCAACTCCCACAATTCCTTAACATTCACCAGCTATTAGGAATTGTGGAAGTCCAAAACACCTGGAGGGCCGAAGTTTGCCAGTGCCTGCTTTACAGTATCCTTGTTCACTTCAGAAGTCCAGGTTCAGACTTTAGATTTTGGGGAGTTGTTATAACAGCATTTTGCTGTAAAGAGGTGTGTGGTCTCCTTACCCCATCCACTACAGGTCTTTTTAGCGTGCACTTTAAGGCGATCTGCTAAAGCTATTTTTTCCCCCTCTTTCCAGGTATAACTTCTTTACCGGCTGCCCGAAAGCCAAGACTTGCACGATCATCCTGCGCGGAGGAGCAGAGCAGTTCATGGAGGAGACGGAGCGCTCCCTCCATGACGCCATCATGATTGTCAGGCGAGCCATCAAGGTGGGCCTTTGAGGGACTGCAGTAGTTGAGCATCCTTTATCCAAAATGTTTGAGACCAGAAATATTTTTGTGGGTTTTTTTTATTTTGAATTACTTTCATATACATAAAGAGATATTTTAAGAGATGGGGCCCAAGTCCAAATATGAAATCTATTTATGTTTCATATGCACAATCTTTGAGTCTCCTTGTGGAGAAGAAAAGCAAGTTATAAATAATAATAATAATCGTAGTAGTAGCAGTAATAATAATAATAATTGTTATACAATATTTTAAATTTTGTGCACGAAGCACGTTTGTTATATTGTGTGCAGCAGTGTTTCTCGAGCTTCCTAATGCCGCGACTCCTTAATACAGTTCTTCATGTTGTGGTGACCCCCAACATAAAATTATTTTTGTTGCTACTTCACAACTGTAATTTTGCAACTGTTATGAATCATCATATAAATATCTGATATGCAGGATGTATTTGATACTAATACGCGATTTGCTCAAATTTGAACACTAGTGGGGTTGGGGGAGATAATTGATTTTGTCATTTGGCAGTTGTAGTTCCTGGGATTTATAGTTAACCTACAATCAAAGAGCATTCTGACCTCCCCCAATGACTGCATTGAACCAAACTTGGCACACAGAACTCCCATGATCAATAGAAAATGTTGGAAGGCTTTGGTGGGCATTGACCTTGAGCTTTGGAGTTGTAGTTCACCTCCATCCAGACAGCACTGTGGATCAAGCAATGAAGCAATGTGAACACTGGTGGAGTTTGGGGGGTGGGTGGGGGGGATAGACCTTGACATTTGGGAGTTGTAGTTGCTGAGATTTATAATTGACCTACAATCAAAAAGCATGATGAACCCCACCAACGACATAATTGGGCCAAACTTCCCAAATGGAACCCTCATGACCAACAGAAAATACTGCGTTTTCTTATGGTCTTTGGTGATCCCTCTGGCATCTCCTCGCGACCCCCCCAAGAGTCCCGACCCCCAGGTTGAGAAACGCTGGTGTTCAGGAAGCAAAGCTGCACCTCCAAGCTATCCATGTAGAAAATGTTTTTGATGTGGGTGTATTTTTTTAGTTTGGAATTCTGAATAAGCCATGCTTGTAACCATCATTGTGTCACACAGTCTGTTATCTGATGACTACAGTCACAACTTCATGATTATTTCCTGAGAATCAGGCTACCCATTGCTTAAAATATCCCTATTTTGTCCGACCCTGTCTTAGTTATGTTTATGCTTTCAAGCCGGTTAGATATGTAGAATGACCTTCCAAGCAGGTTGGTCTACCTATCTTTTTATTTCATGGATTTTCCATTTCGGAATCTAGATTGAATAGCAGCTGTGTCTTTCGTCCCTCTGCCAACAAACTGATGGATGCTCTTGGCTTGGATGAACCTGATAGATGGGCAGCCGTTCTCTTCCAAATGTCAGCAGATATTTCTGTGCCGGGCAACCAGCCAGCGGCTTCCTTATGAATGGAGTAAACCTACATCTCGTGCAGTCCTTTTCCCCTAAGAGAAAGTGACCTTTCCCTGCTCTCTTTCAGAATGACTCGGTCGTCGCTGGAGGCGGAGCCATAGAGATGGAGATCTCGAAGTACCTCCGAGACTATTCCAGAACCATTCCCGGCAAGCAGCAGTTGTTGATAGGGGCTTATGCCAAAGCCCTGGAGATCATTCCACGCCAGCTCTGCGACAACGCCGGCTTTGATGCCACAAACATCCTCAACAAGCTCCGGGCCAAGCATGCACAGGTGAGCTTCCCCTGGGGTCCATCACCCGTCCATCCTGGGCTTCCCAGAGCTGCAGCTTCCACTGGCGCATAATTTTCCCTGGTGGAGATGGCTGCTGTTGCATCTGTCTTGCTGCTCCCCTGATTTTTCTTCCATTCACCCTTGTAGAGGTAAAGGGAGGGAACATTCCCTTTGCTTTCTCATGACAGTAAACAGCTGAGGAGGGAGAATGAGGGCAGGACAAAGTTTTTCTCCCTATTCATAGAATCATAGAATTGGAAGAGAACCTCAAGGGCCATCCAGTCTAACCCCCTTTTATCACTTTTGTTCCCGCTTGGGGTGGGGTGCATTTTTATGTTATACACTGGTGGACTACAATTGTCCATTCTACCCTTCAGTTGAGGTCTCTGGTTCCCCATCCTTGGTAGTTGCCAGTCCAAATACTATCCTAGGCATGGGTAAACTTTGGGCCTCCCTCCAAGTGTTTTGGGCTTCAACTCCTACAGTGTTGTATCCCAGGCAGGAACACTTCTGTTCTTAAACACTACCACAGTTCAGTATAAATCAGCAAGCAGTGTATTGAAGATTACTGTATATACTTTATTATTGTTGTTATTACATTTATTATTGTATTCTATTGTTATTGTTACATTTATTATTTTACTCTTATTGTTATTATTACATTTATTATTTTACTCTATTATTATTGGAAGGATAAGTAAGCATATTTTCATTGAAGAAGGTTAGAATAATGGTTGAATCAGAGTTGGACAGTAGTATGTTGAATTACAGTTTTATGTAAATATTCAAAAACATTTAACCAACTCATGCCTCAATTAATGTAATTTTATTGGTATCTATTTTTATTTTGAAATTGACTCGTAAATGCTGCATTTCCCACCCTCGGCTTATATTCGAGTCAATCCATTTCCCCAGTTTTTTGTGGTAAAATTAGGTGCCTTAGATTATATTTGGGTCGGCTTATACTCGAGTATATACGGTATATATAAAGCAAAATAGTAAAAATGGAAAGAAGTAATTTAGTCCAAAATCATGAAATAGTCCATAAAATGCAAGGTGCAAAGGTATAATGCACAAATCAGGAAGGCGGGGAGTCAGGATACAAAGAGATAGCTTAAAATCCAACACCCAGAACGACAAGATAATCCTTTAGACTTGGAAACCAGAGCTCGAACCACTTGAGACATGAAACAAGAAATTTCCTTTGACTAAGGTTCTATTCCAGATGATATTTTCCCTGTCTTATATAAAGGGTCTCCTGTTCCATAAAGAGACAAAAAAGCAGTATGTTTACAGCCAGATAGCAATCTCCTTGCTAATGAGTGAGTTGTCTTTTGCCTTGACAAGGAATCTGCACATAACTTTATATTTATTTATTTATTTAAAACTTTTATATCCCGATCTTTTCTACCTCCGTAGAGGGACTCAGAAATTTGTTGCACAAATACAACTAAAAACATCATAGAATAGAGTTAGAAGGGACTCTACCATGGTATTGAATAGAATTAGAAGGGACTCTACCATGGTAATCATAATACGTTAAAATACAGACAGAATAAATACATATAAGCCAAATCACCAAGATAGAATCAAGTTCAACTCAGTCTGCAAATGTGGTCAGTAGTTATTAGGTTATTGCTGGTCTCAACCAATTATTCCGGGAATGCTATGTCCCAGAGCCAAGCTTTCACTAGCTTTCTGAAGGTCGGGAGGGAAGGGACAGATCTGATCTCCATCGGGAGAGAGTTCCACAGCCGAGGTGCCACCATCGAGAAGGCCCTGTCTCTTGTCCTCACCAGACGCGATTGCGAATGTGGTGGGACCAAGAACTAGATTAAGCTGCTCTTCCTATCTCCTGGCTCATTAATTTTGTCACCTGGCGAATTGCCTTCTGAACTCCCTTCCCTAGAGAAAGTGCTGCCCTGAGTCTCTTTCAGGAATTTGGCCTTCAGATTCAGGAACACTGGTCTCTATCTGGACTTAACTCAGGCTGACTTGCAAGTTCATAATCCCCATTGACATCAGGTAAAGCATCAGGTATCATTGGCTGCATCACAACACAGCCGGAGTTGAATCCAAAACACCTGGAGGAGGGCTGAAGTTTGCCAGACCCTTAAGACTCAACTTTTGAAATCAAACCAAGTGTGTTCAGGGTAGCGTTCTGTGGAAGGCAGGATGGGTGTCTCTGGGCTCGGTTTAGTCTTGGGGCCTTTCTCTTTTGGGGAGGCCCAATGGCAGAGGAATTCCCCTTCCATTGTGTGACGGGGCCTGTGTTCTGTGTGCCCCTCAGGGCGGGATGTGGTACGGCGTTGACGTGAACAACGAAGACATTGCAGACAACTTTGAGGCCTGCGTGTGGGAGCCAGCCATGGTGCGCATCAACGCCCTGACAGCGGCCTCGGAAGCAGCGTGCCTCATTGTGTCGGTGGACGAGACCATCAAGAACCCCCGCTCCACAGTCGATGCCGCCCCTGCGGGCCGAGGCAGAGGCCGGCCCCATCACCACTGAGGGAAGGCCACACGTTGCCAGTAGCGCGGGATACAGGAACCCTGTCTTTGCCACTTAGCTCCCTTTAATTTGGCTTCCCCATTTGAGCCATTAAACACCATTCTGGGGCTGTTTTTGTCCAACTTATTGCCACTTTCTTAATACATGGAAACTGGGAATGTCCTTCAAAATTCAAGGCTCTGCCTACTCTTTTGAATACTCAAAGCACTGATATGCTAGGGAGTTGCAGGTGTTCCTTTCTCCCCTCCCAGGTTGCTCTTTTGAGTATTATCCTGGAAGACTCAGCATCCCCAGGAGCCTGCTATGTTGGCATAGATTTTGAATGTTCAGTGGGTTGGTTACTGGTGGTATTTATTGGTTTTTCTTTTCTACTGGAGAGTCAAAAAGTCAGGCGTGAACGCAATAAATAATAATTAAAAAGCAGTCTGGGAGTTTCCTAGCCTTCATTGACATTTTCCTCTCTTTTTAATTAAAACCTTTCTCAGAGAAAGGTTGGGGTTTTTGAAATGTGATTTTGGGATATGGGAGGGAGCGAAATCAAGTAAGGACTTAATTCTGTGGCTGCTTGCCATTTCTTCGCATCTTGGCAGCGCTTTAGAATTTTGCAGCTGGAATAGCATTCTTGGCCTGTAAGAATGGGCCCTTCCACCAACCCTCTTTGTTAGAGAAGGTGAAAAACCTTGCGGAATTACATCTCCTCGGATTCCCTTTAGCTATGGCAGTTCACTGCATTCATTCTGTGTAGATGCACCCCAGAATTAGGGTTTGGATCTCTGTTCATCCTATTGTAAGCTGGCCTTGGAGTCACAGTACATTGGAAGCAACGTCAAGGAATACAAATACACACATGATATCTGTGTTCAAAAATGAGAAAGCCTCAATTTGTATTGCATTTAAAAACAAAACAAAAAATATAAACCTTATACATTATAGCATCAAGCTTTGTCTTGCAGGCTGAGATTTGTCGAAGGCTTTCATGGCCGGAATCACTGGGTTGTTGTAGGTTTTTTCAGGCTATATGGCCATGTTCTAGAGGCATTCTCTCCTGATGTTTTGCGTGCATCTATGGCAAGCACCTCTGAGGATGCTTGCCATAGATGCAGGCAAATGTCAGGAGACAATGCCTCTAGAACATGGCCATATAGCCTGAGAAATCCTACAACAACCCAGGCTGAGATTTGTCAATAGAGGCCCAGGTTATTTTCTAGTTTGGCAGCAATCATGAAATGGGCAAGAACTGCATTGATATTTTGCAAGCCTACTGTTTGGGTCCTGTGTTGTTCTACAGTCTGGAGCTGGAAGGACCTGTGGTAGAATATTAAGTCTTAAATATTCTTCCCACTTGGAATGAGTTGTAAAGTAGCTTGTCTGTTAATTACTTGCGTTGGCTTTTGGGGTTTCGGTCTCTTACCAGCTGTGCTAAGCTTAGTATTTGGCAGGGCTTTGGCTGCCAAATCAAAAGGGAGACAAACACAGCTAATGCAAAATAGATGCAAGGGCAGCTGAGCTTCTGCCTCTTCCCAGCTGGCTCTCGCCCTGGCATTTTGCAATCCTGTCTTGCTTCCCACTGGGAAGAGGTGCCCAGTAAAAGGACTGCAAAATTAGGAATGCACCTACACCAGACATGGGAAAACTTTGGCTCTCCAGGTGTTTGGGACTCTAATTCCCACAATTCCTAACAGCCACTAGGCTGTTAGGAATTGTGGAAGTCCAAAACACCTGGAGAGACGAGGTTTGCCCATGCCTGATAGAATCATAGAGTTGGAAGACACCTCATGGGCCATTCAGTCCAACCCTCTGCCAAGAAGCAGGAATATTGCATTCAAAGCACCCCTGACTGATGGCCATCCGGCCTCTGTTTAAAAGCTTCCAAAGAAGGAGCCTCCACCACACTCCGGGGCAGAGAGTTCCACTGCTGAACGGCTCTCACAGTCAGGAAGTTCTTCCTCATGTTCAGATGGAATCTCCTTTCTTGTAGTTTGAAGCCATTGTTTCGCGTCTTAGTCTCCAGGGAAGCAGGAAACAAGCTTGCTCCCTCCTCCCTGTGGCTTCCTCTCACATATTTATACATGGCTATCATATCTCCTCTCAGCCTTTCTTCTTCTTCAGGCTAAACATGCCCAGCTCCTTAAGCCGCTCCTCATAGGGCTTGTTCTCCAGACCCTTGATCATTTTAGTCGCCCTCCTCTGGACACATTCCAGCTTGTCAATAGGAGCCCCCGGTGGCGCAGTGGGTTAAACCCCTGTGCCGGCAGGACTAAAGACCGACGGGTCACAGGTTCAAATCCGGGGACAGGCAGATGAGCTCACTCTCAGTTCCAGCTCCTCATGCGGGGACGAGAGAAGCCTCCCACAAGGATGATAAAACATCAAATCATCCGGGCATCCCCTGGGCAACGTCCTTGCAGACGGCCAATTCTCTCACACTAGAAGCGACTTGCAGTTTCCCAGGTTGCTCCTGACACGGCAAAAAAAAAAAAAAAAAGCTTGTCAATATCTCACATTCCAGCTTGTCAATGATCTACAGTATAGAATTAGTGCAGTGTGACACCATTAGTGCAGTGTGACACCATTAGTGCAGTGTGACACCAATGAGTGTGCTCATTGGAGGGAAGAGTAGTAGAGGCCAAGATGAAGTCCTTTGGCCACATCATGAGAAGAACAGAAAGCTTAGAGAAGACAATTATGCTGGGGAAAATCGAAGGAAAAAGGAAGAGGGGCTGACCAAGGGCAAGGCGGAGGGATGGTATCCTTGAAGTGACTGGATTGACCTTGAAGGAGCTGGGGGTGGCCACGGCTGACAGGGAGTTCTGGCGTGGACTGGTCCATGAAGTCACGAAGAGTCGGAAACGACTGAACGAATGAACAACAACACCATTTTAAGCACCATGGCTCAATGCTATGGAAACATAAAAGTTCTAGTTCTACGAGGCCTAATTTTACTTACTTGTGGGTATGTTTCTGGGGAGTCAGTACGGAATAAAGAAAAGAAGGTGAAAAAGGAGGAGATGAAGAAGGGAGGAGAAGAAACCAATATACTGGCATCCATTAACACAAACACACCTTATCCTGGTGTGAGGTGTTGTCTTTCCTCTCTGAACATTTCGTTTTCTTTAGTGTGGAAAACAAAGCCCCCATGCTAATTGCCAATTTGTATGGAATAGCTTGCAAGCTCTTACTGGTGTTCCTTACCTTGCCTGGATTTAGCAGGTCATTAAAGCTGTGCACTCCGGCTAATGAAGCTCTGATGAAATCCTGTTCTTGCAGAGCGTCTCCAAGGTAGTGTGTGATTAGGTATGAAAACATCACAGCGGGGCCAGAAATGAGAGGTAAACAAAGGCACAAGAAAAGAGTGGAAACCCTGTAAGCACTCTATCATGGTTTTCCAATGCCCATCTTGTGTGTAAATGTCCATATTTTGTCTCCTGGGCAGAGCCAGATGAAGTAACCACTGGCTGGTGAAACTCACCTGTCAATTGTTGACCATTCACACACTTTCCACCTGAGCTACCTCACAAGCGTGTTGTTATAAGATTAAAGGGAGATGGCAGAGAGCAACCTTGGATTGGGAAAGGATTCCAAGGGCCAAACTTATTACTCTGCAAAAACACACAAATCTGTAAAAACCTCCAAAGATGGAGAGTCCACCATTCTCCAAATGTAGTCTCTTCCAATGTCAAATAACTGATAACTAAGCTGAATTTATCCAAACTGCCTCACGAGGCTTGATTTTCCTAATCTTTGACCATTTTGGGCATCTCTCTTGGGACATTTTCCAATTTGCCCTTATCCTCCTTTAATTGTAATATCCAACATTACAACACGGCCTAAGCTCTGCGAGTGCAGCATTTTTCTGAATGAAGCAGAGAGTGAGTTCTGGCACAGCCATAGGGAGACCAAAGGGCTTATTTATAAAGCTATTGTCCTCCCAACCCTGATGTCTACAGATGTCACACTCAACACAGTGAAGACATCTGCCCTTGCCCTGTGCTACTCTGCTGCTGAGTATGCATGCCCAGTGTGGAACACATCTCACCACACTAAAACAGTAGATGTGGCTCTTAATGAGACATGCCGCATTATCACGGGGTGTCTGCGCTCTACACCACTGGAGAAATTACACTGTCTAGCCGGTATTGCACCACCTGATATCTGCCGGGAAGTAGCAACCAATAGTGAAAGGACCAAGGCAGTGACATCTCCAGCTCATCCCCTGTTTGGGTATCAGCCAGCATGCCAATGACTTAAATCAAGAAATAGTTTTCTAAGATCTATAGAGACACTTGCTGGAAACCTCAGCAAGCGAGAGTCCAAAAGTGGCAGGCTAAAACCCAGAACCTCAATCAGTGGCTGATACTAAATGAGAGACTCCCCCCTGGGCACACAGAAAACTGGGCGACTTGGAAGGCGCTGAACAGACTGCACTTGGGCACCACGAGATGCAGAGCCAACCTTAGGAAATGGGGCTACAAAGTGGAATCCACGACATGCGAGTGTGGAGAAGAGCAAACCACAGACCATTTGCTGCAATGGAACCTGAGTCCTGCTACATGCACAATGGAGAATCTTCTTATAGTAACACCAGAGGCACTCCAAGTGGCCAGCTACTGGTCAAAGGACATTTAATCAACTACCAAGCTTGCAAACTTTCTGCTTTGTTTGTTTGTTTAAAAAATGCAATACAACTGTTTGGTTTGCTCCTGACACAATAAATAAATAACTCAACTCCTGGAATGATTTCATCATTGCCTCCGAATAATCCTGCAAATCTCTTGGGAAGACAGGCAGACAAATGGCAGCGTGCTAGAAGAAGCAAAGACCACTGAGGCAGCAACCCTTAGGCATTTCCTAAAAGAGATTGAAAACCCCAAAGACCAAATCCAGGGACTCTACAATGTAACCTGATTTTACCTCTATGGTTAGTTCCCAGTCAACTTGTTTTCGCTGAATAGGATAAAGTTATAATTATGGTCATTATCAGATTAGGGAACCAAATCCTCTGTACTTTAGACAGCATCTATATCAATAAACAATAAATAAACATGCTATAAATAAATAATAACATGCTATAAAGGACCTGCCCAATTAAGATTAGAAGAGTACCTGTAATATTGGAATGTCACCTGATGTCTTAATGTGATTACAGTAGAAACTACATAAAAAGTATGACTCTTAGTGTCGCAGCTATCAAACTGGGGTTCCAAACATTCAACCCCTTCTGCGGAAGTTGCGCCCCTTCGTCCAAGGAGGAAAAACCCAACAGAAAGAAACTGTGTTATATCAAAGAAAAGTTCATATGAAGGTATTTACAAATATAGCAGAGTCCTTGGAATATCCAGCTGCTTTCACACGATGGCTTGTAAACTCAAAGTCCTTATCTCCAGATAAGATGCCACAATCTTGCTCTTCAGACGTAGCAATAA